TCTCTTCTGTCTCTTCAGTCTCTTCAGTCTCTTCAGTCTCTTCAGTCTCTTCTGTCTCTTCTGTCTCTTCAGTCTCTCAGTCTCTTCAGTCTCTTCAGTCTCTTCAGTCTCTTCAGTCTCTTCTGTCTCTTCTGTCTCTTCTGTCTCTTCTGTCTCTTCAGTCTCTTCAGTCTCTTCAGTCTCTTCAGTCTCTTCAGTCTCTTCAGTCTCTTCAGTCTCTTCAGTCTCTTCTGTCTCTTCAGTCTCTTCAGTCTCTTCAGTCTCTTCAGTCTCTTCTGTCTCTTCAGTCTCTTCAGTCTCTTCAGTCTCTTCAGTCTCTTCAGTCTCTTCTGTCTCTTCTGTCTCTTCAGTCTCTTCAGTCTCTTCAGTCTCTTCTGTCTCTTCAGTCTCTTCAGTCTCTTCAGTCTCTCAGTCTCTTCAGTCTCTTCAGTCTCTTCAGTCTCTTCTGTCTCTTCTGTCTCTTCAGTCTCTTCTGTCTCATCTGTCTCCTCAGTCTCTTCAGTCTCTTCTGTCTCTTCAGTCTCTTCAGTCTCTTCAGTCTCTTCAGTCTCTTCTGTCTCTTCAGTCTCTTCAGTCTCTTCAGTCTCTTCAGTCTCTTCTGTCTCTTCAGTCTCTTCTGTCTCTTCAGTCTCTTCTGTCTCTTCTGTCTCTTCAGTCTCTTCAGTCTCTTCTGTCTCTTCAGTCTCTTCAGTCTCTTCTGTCTCTTCAGTCTCTTCAGTCTCTTCTGTCTCTCTCTGTCTCTTCAGTCTCTTCAGTCTCTTCAGTCTCTTCAGTCTCTTCTGTCTCTTCAGTCTCCTCAGTCTCTTCAGTCTCTTCAGTCTCTTCAGTCTCTTCAGTCTCTTCTGTCTCTTCTGTCTCTTCAGTCTCTTCTGTCTCTTCTGTCTCCTCAGTCTCTTCAGTCTCTTCTGTCTCCTCAGTCTCTTCAGTCTCTTCAGTCTCTTCTGTCTCTTCTGTCTCTTCTGTCTCCTCAGTCTCCTCAGTCTCCTCAGTCTCTTCAGTCTCTTCAGTCTCTTCAGTCTCTTCAGTCTCTTCTGTCTCTTCTGTCTCTTCTGTCTCTTCTGTCTCCTCAGTCTCTTCAGTCTCTTCAGTCTCTTCAGTCTCTTCAGTCTCTTCAGTCTCTTCAGTCTCTTCTGTCTCCTCAGTCTCTTCAGTCTCTTCAGTCTCTTCAGTCTCTTCTGTCTCTTCTGTCTCCTCAGTCTCTTCAGTCTCTTCAGTCTCTTCAGTCTCTTCAGTCTCTTCTGTCTCTTCTGTCTCTTCAGTCTCTTCAGTCTCTTCAGTCTCTTCAGTCTCTTCTGTCTCTTCAGTCTCTTCAGTCTCTTCAGTCTCTTCAGTCTCTTCTGTCTCTTCAGTCTCTTCAGTCTCTTCAGTCTCTTCAGTCTCTTCAGTCTCTTCTGTCTCTTCAGTCTCTTCAGTCTCTTCTGTCTCTTCAGTCTCTTCAGTCTCTTCAGTCTCTTCAGTCTCTTCTGTCTCTTCAGTCTCTTCAGTCTCTTCAGTCTCTCAGTCTCTTCAGTCTCTTCAGTCTCTTCAGTCTCTTCTGTCTCTTCTGTCTCTTCAGTCTCTTCAGTCTCTTCTGTCTCTTCAGTCTCTTCAGTCTCTTCTGTCTCTCAGTCTCTTCAGTCTCTTCAGTCTCTTCTGTCTCTTCTGTCTCTTCTGTCTCTCAGTCTCTTCAGTCTCTTCAGTCTCTTCAGTCTCTTCAGTCTCTTCAGTCTCTTCTGTCTCTTCTGTCTCTTCAGTCTCTTCTGTCTCTTCTGTCTCTTCAGTCTCTTCAGTCTCTTCAGTCTCTTCAGTCTCTTCAGTCTCTTCAGTCTCTTCAGTCTCTTCAGTCTCTTCTGTCTCTTCAGTCTCTTCAGTCTCTTCAGTCTCTTCTGTCTCTTCTGTCTCTTCAGTCTCTTCAGTCTCTTCAGTCTCTTCAGTCTCTTCAGTCTCTTCAGTCTCTTCAGTCTCTTCAGTCTCTTCAGTCTCTTCAGTCTCTTCTGTCTCTTCAGTCTCTTCAGTCTCTTCAGTCTCTTCTGTCTCTTCAGTCTCTTCAGTCTCTTCAGTCTCTTCAGTCTCTTCTGTCTCTTCTGTCTCTCAGTCTTCAGTCTCTTCAGTCTCTTCAGTCTCTTCAGTCTCTTCAGTCTCTTCAGTCTCTTCTGTCTCTTCAGTCTCTTCTGTCTCTTCAGTCTCTTCAGTCTCTTCTGTCTCTTCAGTCTCTTCAGTCTCTTCAGTCTCTTCAGTCTCTTCTGTCTCTTCAGTCTCTTCAGTCTCTTCAGTCTCTTCAGTCTCTTCAGTCTCTTCAGTCTCTTCTGTCTCTTCAGTCTCTTCAGTCTCTTCAGTCTCTTCTGTCTCTTCTGTCTCTTCAGTCTCTTCTGTCTCTTCTGTCTCTTCAGTCTCTTCAGTCTCTTCTGTCTCTTCAGTCTCTTCAGTCTCTTCTGTCTCTTCTGTCTCTTCAGTCTCTTCAGTCTCTTCAGTCTCTTCAGTCTCTTCAGTCTCTTCAGTCTCTTCTGTCTCTTCAGTCTCTTCAGTCTCTTCTGTCTCTTCTGTCTCTTCAGTCTCTTCAGTCTCTTCTGTCTCTTCAGTCTCTTCAGTCTCTTCAGTCTCTTCTGTCTCTTCAGTCTCTTCAGTCTCTCTGTCTCCTCAGTCTCTTCAGTCTCTTCAGTCTCTTCAGTCTCTTCAGTCTCTTCTGTCTCTTCTGTCTCTTCAGTCTCTTCAGTCTCTTCTGTCTCTTCAGTCTCTTCAGTCTCTTCAGTCTCTTCAGTCTCTTCAGTCTCTTCAGTCTCTTCAGTCTCTTCTGTCTCTTCAGTCTCTTCAGTCTCTTCAGTCTCTTCTGTCTCTTCTGTCTCTTCAGTCTCTTCAGTCTCTTCAGTCTCTTCAGTCTCTTCAGTCTCTTCTGTCTCTTCAGTCTCTTCAGTCTCTTCAGTCTCTTCTGTCTCTTCAGTCTCTTCAG